TAGACATTGAAGACATTTAGATTTGAGTAATATGGCTGTTTTTTGTACAAAATTTCATAAGGAGTTTTTCACTTAAAACAGAGCTTGGTAAAATATTTATTATGTGTGTGGCTGTGAGTATGGCTTCGTCCCAAAACTTTTTTGGTAATTTTGATTCAAACATCAATGCCCTAGCAATTTACAGTAGGTGTTTATGTTTCCTTTCCACCACACCATTTTGCTGTGGTGTGTATGTACAGGTTTTTTTATGTATGATTCCCCTTTCTTGAAAAATAGTTTTGCATGAGGTGTTTATGAACTCAATGCCATTGTCTATCCCAACTGTTTTGATTATTTTCTGAAATTGGTTTTGTATTAGATTGCAAAAATATTTTAAGGTATTTGGTACATTCATCTTCTCTTTTAATAAATAAGTCTAAGTGGCTCTTGAAAAATAATCAACTATGGTTAAAAAATAGAGTGCACCAAAAATACAATTGACCAGGTATGGTCCACAAAGGTTAACATGTATTAAACTAAAAATATCATTGGTATTGATGGAACTTTTAGGGAAAGACAAACACTATTGTTTTGCCAAGGGGCATATTTCACAATTATGTAAAGCTGCACTACTTGGTAACTTTAGACTGGGGATGTGGATCAATTTTTGTGTGGATGTGTGAGCGAGTCTTTTGTGCCATAGTTATAGGTTGTTTTCTTAGGTGTGGTTGATGCATGCTTTGTTAGAGTGTATGTCTTCATTCAGGGTGTACAGGCCCTTCATTATTATTCCCTTCTTCAATATTTTGTTAGTTGTCAAATCCTGCACAAAACAATAGTTGGGATGAAAGGAAATGTATGTATTTAAAGCTTGGGTTAGCTTTCTGACAGAAATAAGGTTACAAGTGAATTTTGGTATATAGAAGATATCCTGCAAAATTAGATTATAACACAGTTTTATGGTTCTGTTATGGGTTGAATGACTCGTGGTTCCGTCTGGTAGCGAGACAGGCATTGTAGGTTTAGTTTTACGGGTTTTGAAAGCATTTTAAAATCATGAAATATGTGTGATGTGGCACTTGTGTCTATTATCAAAGTTCTTATATCATTAGAGGCATGTAAAAATAGCATTTAGGTTGCTTACTAGCGAGGCCAGAGTAGCCCATGCATCCTGCCAATTCTGTCGTGTTTGCTCTTTGATTTTTCATGTACTTGTTGATCTCTTGTTGTATGAGTGTGGCCATTTTTGTGTCCCAGTTTGTGTTGGATGCTTCTGTTTTGCTGCCATCAGGGACATTGTTTGCCACTGCATTGGCTTTTTCTTTGTTCTTTTTCCCTTTGAGTTCTGCAAACCATTCTGGATAGCCATGAAGCTTGAAGCATGTGTCTTTTATGTGCCCTGTGTTTCTACAATAAGTGTATGTCCTGTTGTCTTTTTCTCTTTTTTGGTTTGGAAATTTTAGATTGTCTTTTAGGTTGGTGTAAAATGCAGCGGGTGTCCCTTCAGGTGAGTTGATATTATGTATTTCTCTTTGTTTTTCAACACTAATCACCATGGAATAAGCTATATTCACACCGGGTAAGAGCTCCATGATCAATATTTAGTTTCTGATATGGTCTTATGAGTCATTAAGACCCATTAGAAATTGGATCAGGTTGTCGGTATTGTCTATTTCACTGTGTTGTGTTGCAGCATGGCAAGTGCAAGCAGGTGAGGGCCTTAGGTGAGTTAACTCATCCCATAGTTTTTTGAGTTTTGTATAATAGGTTATGACAAAAAGCTTAGATTGCGTGATGGAACTTATTTAACGTTTTAATTGATACAACAGAGGCCCGTTGCTTTCATCATACCTCTCTTTTATTTCATCCCACAGGTTTTTTGCTGATATGGTGAACAGCAAGGCGCTAGTGAGCTCTTTGTTCATCGAGTTTAAGATCCAGGATGCCACCATACTGCCTGTTTTATGCCATTGTTCATATTCTGCTGCATCATGTTTGGGCTTTTTGAATTTGCTATCAACAAGAGCAAGCTTGTCCTTGGCTCTCAACACAATCACCATGGCTCGACTCCAAGACAAGTAGTTGGAGCCATCAAGGGTGGTTGTGACAAGTTGCATTCCAGGCTGATCCGAGTTTAGGAGTGTCAACACATATGTATTAGGGTTTTTCATTGAATAGTAGAGTAATAGTGTCGTGTAGAAATTAGAGAAATCAGTACTTATCACAGGCACTGCTATGATACCATGTAAAAAAAACCCAACCGGGTGAATATGGAGTATTTTAATGCTCTTTAACATCTCAACAACCACTAATGTCGTGTACATGCCACCCCTACACACGAGGAACCGTACAACACAACTTGCTCTTACACAACTCTCGGCCAGCCCCTGGCTATTGAACACCCAACCTGCCACCACAGCCATTGGGTCACACACACTCACACACGCTCCATATCACTTAAACTCACCTACTCCGTCCTTACCATGCTCGGGCAATGTCTGTCACCCACGCACATACCAGATGCCACACTGAAATGCTCATATACACCGTCACACTCGGCCTGTAATGGTCACACATGCACGCCGACCACGTTACAGCTCTTCCGAAGCCACACACACACCAAACCACCTACACTCAATAACTTAATACTTACAATCCTCGGTCAGGGTCTGCCACACACGCACACACCAAACCGCGTTACGATTTTTTCCTCCCTCTAGAGCACCCACTCCGCTTCTTCTACTCGGATCCTAGGACCTGGCCTTGGCCTACACCACTTCCGCCCAACCTATACTCTCACCCGATAGCTTCTACTCTATCTACACTAAACCTCTTCCCAATAAAGGTTTCTACATCCACACTCGTCTTAATCACCTCATCCGCACCACTCCTCCCTCACTCCCGATCACCTCATTCGACCAATTTCTAAAAAATGAGAAAATACATATATAAATGATCTTGGTTTAACCTACCGAATCAAAAATTCTAAATTCCCTTACCTCTTGGCTTTCGTTTCCTCTCCCTCAGCCACAAACTCACTCAACTCCTCCAGTCCTCTAAATTCTCCCTGGGAATTTCCTCTCCCTTGGTCATCTCCTTTACTTCTCCACTGTATCTCCCTCCGGTGGTCTCCTCTCAACTTCCTCTCTTTTTCTTTCCCTTTTCTCCCTCTTTTTTTCTGGTTTCTCAATCTACTTATGCTTACCTTGAGGCTCATCCCAGTCATCCCTTTCTTTTCTCCTAATCTAATCTACACTCTCCATTTCACTACTCTCTCTCTCTTTTATTTTATTTATTTATTTGTTTCTTTATATATTTATATATCTTTCTCTCTTTCTCAATTATTACATGTCCCCAACAGTAACCAATTTTAAAACAGAAAAAATATTGACCATTCATTTTAGGGTTTTGATCTGTGTGGTCTACCTGTCCATTTTCTTTTAGCCTTTTTCCCTTTTTTTACACTTAATTCTTTTCAAACGTGGTGAAATTTGACATGACCATGCACATATATATATATATATATTATACTTTTGGGAAAAAAAGATCTAAATGTGAGGTAGGTAATCACCTTGTTGTCGTAAGCTAGCTGCAAAGAACTCTCTCTATCACCTATTCTTGTCAATATATACGTACTACTTTGAGATATAATTATAATTATATTCCTTCAGCCTTATTAATTGCACATACTTGAAATGTAACATTCATTTCATAGTGCTTAAATTGATTAACAATAATAACTCATATCATAATAATTAAATATACATACATGCACATATTGAATATTAAATTAACTAATTGTAAACTCAATAATAATAATAATAATATCACATGGAATTTATTGGGATCATTACTCGTTAAGATACTACAAATCCGTTATAGAAATATTTAAAAATATTATGTTTTTTACATACGAAAATACAATGAGGGACATTTGTTCTTATGTTAAGAACTTGGCCGAATTTTTGGGGTATTTTTTTTCTCCTTAAGAAACTGAAAAAGGTGTGTTACAAAAGATTGTTAAAATGTATAGTTTAAAGAATATCAGTAATCTTGAAATCAACAAAAAAAATATATATATATATATATTCAGACATATTAATGGTTATTTTAACGATGCATATTCTAGAAAAGCTAGAAGGTGAAATTAAGAAAGTAATTGATATTGATACGGTTAAACATCTTAATTCCATTATTTAGGACAAATTTAAAGGTTTGAGCTTTATAATCATATACATTTTTCAGTACCATACCTCATTGTAAGCAATAATCATGTACATTAGTTTAAAACTTATACATATACAAATCTTTCTCATCTTCTAACCATTTAAATGATTGAAATAAATGAAGACTTTATGTATGCTAATTAAGTTATAAATATGCTGATTAGATAAATATAATATTAATTGATATATTATGTGCATGCCATGTTCTTGTGGATCCAAAGCTCCGAGTTAATTCAAATGAGAGTTACTTGGTAAAGGTTTATTATTTTTTGAATCTTCGTAAACTCAAAAGATTTTAATGATGATTGAGTTACTTGTCCTGATTCAAAATTCTCTGTCACGCGAACCTGACCTTATGAATAATGAATGAAATTATGTATATATATATATATATATAAATCTGTATATATATTTTTCTGGAGGTTTTTCATCTCGTACATACACGTGAATCTCACCTGGTAAATGATGGATGAAATTATGCATATATATATAGTTGTATAGTATCTTCTCAGTACTCTGATTAGTCTCGTTCTTTCTCATGACTTGTTATCCAGTACTAGAGGGAAACAAACGGTTAGGGCAATACATTTTAATCTTGCTAATTACTTTTCATTGCAGTGTTGAAGGTGACAATGGAAGTGTGTAGTTCTGGTATTTGGAAGAGAGAAAATAAATTTATGGATCATAATTCCTGGTCTGAATTTTTTCACTTCTATCATCAGTTGATGGATTGTCAGCTTTAATCATGCTTATCTATTTACTTCAATATAAAACTAATAAACATACTATTTAAAAATATTACTAATCTTGCATATAACACATAGCTTATCTTATAAGTATATATATATATATATATATATATATATGACATAAGATAATCTACATGGTACAATTAGTTTTATTTTTTTTTCCCAAGAAAGTAAACAAACCAAGTCCGATTATTTAGCAAGAGAATGTTCTGAGACCTGCAAATCAACCTTAATTGATTCGCTTTATTGCTCTTCCTGGTTCTCAACAAGAGAAGCCATTTTCATAAAACTCCAGCTTTCCCATGAACCTAAACGAAGTCGTACTCAATCAAGTACTTGACTCCTTTAACCTTATCTACCTAGCTACTTGAAGATGATGATGATCCAGATGATCAGAACACCTGTGCATTCGGAGATCCATAATTAAAATCCAGGAACCCATCATAAATTTCTTCCAATTCCAAATCCTCGTTCCAATAATTTGCAGTTGTAATCTCTTCAACTCCCCCACCTTCGTTACTACTTTCTGATCCTCCATTAACGAAAGTCTGATCTGATCCAGTACTACCGCTAATGTCGGAATCATCAAGAAGAAAGTCTCTCAAAGAGTCAATATCAAAGCTAGACTCATCAACGTTGTTAACGGTAGCTCCATGGTCGTCTTCTGCAAGAACCATGTTGACGAAATCTTCTTCTTCGTTCATCACCTTAGCTGTATCATGATCAACGCAGTACGTTAATGGCGAAAACGGGACGCTACCTCCGACTAATCCATTACTAACCGAAGGACTTGATGCAGGTGTTGAAGACGACAAGATTGATTGTAACATGTTAGGCCTGGTGGCCACTTTGTTGAGCAGCCGAGAAGTAATGGAATTACTCCTGGAAAATCTGGATTCAGTGGGAGACTCCATTAATGATCGTTCACGAACATCGTTAACATTGTTAATCGTGTTACCGCCATTTTTTATTATTTCTGAGAGAGCGTTGTGGTTGTCTGAGATGACGAGCTTGGTGGCAACTCTGTTGAGGAGCTTGGCGGAGAGAGAGACAGGGCGAGATGGGCGTGAGGGTAGATCGTCATCAGGGTTAGATGAGGTTGTCTGGTTTTGGGTAGGGTTTATTTGATCATGTTGAGGAGAGGGAGCTCCGCCATTGATGAGCTTGTGAGTTGCAGGGTCAATTCCTTTCTGGACTAAGCGTTTCTTAAGATGTGTATTCCAATGGTTCTTAATATCATTATCTGTTCGTCCTGGTAAACGCCTCGCTATGGCTGACCACCTACACCAAATATATATTATATAATTATTATAAACTAATTTTTCTAAAAAAATATTTTTGGTTATATATATATATATATGTATATGTATATATTCTTTCATACTTCTTCGACATAATATTCAAAAAAATTTTGGCCAAATATAGCTATATTTTCGTTGACTATCAAACTTTCCTAAAATGTAAAATAACATGTTTACTATACTTTACTATTTAAATATATTAATCATATTTATAGACTAGAGAAATTCATATACGTTTTCTTAGCAATATTAAACAATTTTTTTAATATTTTTATTTTTAAAATTCATAAATTTTAATAATCATTCAATAATTATACGACATTAATTTTGTAAAAAAAAATAATATAACTAAGAAAATAATATATTGTAATAATAAATGTACTATAACTTTCTGCACCAATACATTATAATAATATATGTACAACAATCCTGCCAAATAATATGGGGAAACGTGTACAGACATGTGCATGAATATGTACTATATGTATATTAGATAAATTAAAATTTTAGTTTATATTTGTCATACACTCCTTTGTATACAAATATACTTATTATATTCATTTTGATTTATATAATATATTTTTCTAAAAGGCAAAAAGAAAGAAGATGATGAAGAAGGAATATTTATGTTAATTATATATTGCTTTTATGCATTTTGATTTCGATAGTATATATTTTTTTCACAGAAAAAAGAAGATGAAGACATACTTGTTGCCCCGAATAGCATGAAGGCGAATGATATTATCTTCTTCCTCTGCACTGAACTCTCCTCTTTTAATATCAGGTCTCAGATAATTAGCCCATCTCAGTCTGCAACTCTTTCCACATCTCTGTAAACCTATATATAATTTAATCACCAACACTATTGTTAATTATAAGCTTTATATACATACATGTATGCACACACATATGCATTTATGAATATATGTGTATATATATATGTCAGTACACAAGAAAACCATTCTATTGAAATAATAATAATTAGATTGCCATTAAAACTCTTTCAGACGAAATTAATTTCATATGCGATACATACGACGCCATAAGATATATATATATATATGTGTGTGTGTGAAAAAAGATACCGGCTTTCTGGGGCAAAGTACGCCAGCCACCTTCGCCGTGTTCTTGAATATAAGCAATGAGCTTCTGATCTTCTTCGGCCGTCCACGCGCCTTTCTTCAACCCTTCGGCACTGCAGCACGGAGTCCTTCCCATCTCGATCTGATCACTTACAGTCTCAGTACTCTTTCCTAAATCTAAACGAATCAAAAACTAAGAATAATCCGACGGCGGAGAGGTCGATGGAGTTCACATCCATGGGGTCACACCCATGGATTGCGTACGTTAAAGGAAGTAAAAGATGAAGACGGGTTCGATCAGACCCATCTCAACTAAGGAAAAAAAAAAGTTAGGAATGATCTCGAGACGACAAAAAAATGTGGAAATATGTTAATCAATTTCAGTACTGAAGGAAATAAATGGATCTCCTGATCAAGACCCGTATGCACTGAAAAACAAGCCTAATAGATATTCGATTTGCACGGTTAATGCAACCAGCTTTTCTCATTTCCTACTTTATCTCTCACTCTCTCTCTGTATTTTCTTGCTTATATTCTTTGAATAATTAGAAGTATTGCTGGACGAGAATCAGCGGCAGAAAGAGATAGTGAAGTAAAGAGAAGAACAAGAAGAAGACATAACCCAGAGCATGAACAGAGAACGAGACTGCCGGCTCCCGCACGCACAAACAGCGAGAGGCATCGCATGAAAAGAGATCACAACCTGCAAATGATTTAACTTTATTATATCTGAATATGAGATCGACCAGGTATCCTTGGAGAGGCCACGTGTAGATTTGGGCTTGTAATTATGCGAAGTGGGATTAAGTGAATAATGGAAAAGGGAGAGAGGAGTGGAGACGGTAAGTCGAAAAAGGAAATGATTACATCAAATTCTCAAAATCATGGGGATATGATCAAAGAGACATGATTGAGGGAGGAAGAGGTAAGAATGATACTTGAAGTTTTTGGAAAAGTAACTTCAGTAGACATTTATAAGAGGGAAAAAGGGAAAGGAGAGATGGGTGAGAATATCGGGTGAAGGATAAACATAAAATGAAGAGAGATGAAGAAATAAGGAAATGAAAGATGAATGGAATTGGCAAGTCAACATCCATAAATAGAGAGAGAGAGAGAGAGAGAGAGAGAGAGGGAGCAAACTCCAAAATCTTATGCTGGAGGTGTCAATGACATATTAGGGCGAAGGAGTGATTCAATTAAGAAAAATCTAGCCTCTCAAAGTTCATTCATGGATCTTTTCACAGACCAGATCCACTCCGTTTTAAAACAAATTCATTTGAGGATAACTTAATATTCTTTGACTCTATAGTCCATTAAACAACTATTTTTTAGCATGAGTCGATTTGAGTAATTTTAATGAGATTATATTTAATAATTTAAAAAAAAAAAAACACGAGCAACAACCATTTTGCAATAGTATAAGAGTGTAGTTTAGGTGAGCTTGGTTATATTGGGCATAATTTTACATGGAAATATTTAAGAGAGATTTGATCATTTTATTGCCACGACGAATTGGTAAGAACCATTTCCTGATTATAACGTGCATCGCTTGTTGAATCATGAGTAAGATCATGTGCCAATAATTTTAAATTTGGTCGAATATCAAGTTAACGTAAGATAAAAAATCTTTAAATTTGAAATTATGTGGCTAAAAGAGCCAACTTGTTATGATATCATTTTAGATGTTTGTTGTCATAATGAAAGGGATTTAGTAATGAAAAATAAAGGGTATGTTGATAATTTTAAAAAGTTATGAATGTAGTTCAAAATATCAAAATTAAAATCTAATTGGTGAAATTAGAAATATATGACCTTTAGGTAAACGCGAAAGAAATGGCAATATAGAGAGGATAAAAACAAAGGAAGGAGAACTTGATGAGTTATTTAAAAAAGAAGAAGTTTTATGGTTTTAGATACCAAGAGTGGATTGGCTAAAATGTGGGCATCAAAATACAAATTCTTTTCATCCTAAGGATTCTGAAAGAAAAAGAAATAAATAAAATAGCTTAAAATGAAAATAAAAAAGGTGAATAGGTCTTTTGTAACGGCCCCGGAAATTTAAAATGAAATATGTGTATTAAAATATCAATGCGGAAGCGAAGTCAAAATTCGATTAACATCCCTTACACTAAAACCAAAACGTGCTCAAA